GAAGGATCTCATGTTTTGTGGAATTTTTGTTGCTCTATCTTTACAAAATTCTAAAGATAAATATGGCTTTAAATACTTTACACTTTAAAAAAAGATATTCAAATATTTTTAGAGATCATCTAAGACAAAAACATGGTCAAATTTCTTGTCCTGTTAAGACAAACAATGAACAGCTTTTTAACTACAAGACCTTGAAGCAATTATGTGACTAGATATTTGTGGTTTAAGACTCTTACCAAATGACCATACATCCGATTTGGTGCTATAGCGGTTATAGGAAAAAACCTCTGGTGCTGACCACCTGATGGGGAATTTAGTACCCATGGAACTGGTATATTGATCATCAAGAACATACCTAAAACGGATAAACTTGTTTAAGTCATTAACCGGTAATTCTAATGTTATAGCTCATGCATGGAAAACAAAAGATTCAAATCTCAGAATCTTATTGAATCATTAATTTGAAACCATGAGTTATAATGATACAGGAGGCTCTACCTTTTTTATATACCTGATCCACCAGCAGTAATAGAACAGGAATATATATACCCAGATTGAAAGTTACATAGATTGATTGTCATTCCATGTTATCAAACACTAACCATTCTATAGACATGCTTCTCTTTAACTGTCAGTACTATGGAAGCTATTGAAATAAGACAGATGGCTTGTTGTTATACTACAACCAATGCCATCATTGATTTTATGAGTAGTGCTATTCTTTCACACTCTCCTCTTTAGAAAAGCAGTAATGTCTGTGGAAATAAACTGACTTCAGATTACCAATAAAATATAATTGGAATATGTCTGGCTGGCAAGTGATAAAAAGGTGTCTGCAAAGAAGGAAATGATACTAGAGGAGTATGCATGATAGAATGTTGGGTGTTTCAGTGAATGGAAGTCACAGGTGAACTCCAATAACATCCTGTGCAGAACTTCTACCAGCATAACTATGAGCAGAAAATTTCTTTTCCCTAATGTAGTCCCTTGGGCACCTTCAAAATCTGATTTGCAAGTTTTATGGAAAAGAAATTGCATTGAAACTAATGCCCCACTAAGCAAGCAGAGCTGCTATAAAATATAGCACTCCAAATATGAGTCATAGCTGCTTTCTTCAATGTAGTAGTGCCCTATAGATGGGTTTGGTTTTGAATGTTGGGAATTACAATCCTAACCCATCTGAAGAGGGCCTGGTTGGGAAAGGCTGTGCTTACTTGGAATGACTGAAGTAAGTATGTTCAATGTCTAAACGTTTCCACTTGTCACCCTTTTAAGTTTACTATTTGATTATGTTTTTACGTAACTCTAGGAAATCAAGAGAATTCGACCGACAGTTCTTTCCTCATCCAATTTCTTTAACGTCGTCTTTGCCTCGTCTCAACTCGAAATCTTCGTAAACGGTTAGGTTATCATTTTAATTGGGTTAGGTTGGATATAATTCAAAAACTGTAGTAGATTTCCACTTATCAACCATAGGGCTAATAATGTATAAGAAACCTATATTACCGTGACATTCCAAAATCTGACACTTTGACAACTTGAAATTCGCCCACCAAACAGTTCCGAGCAGCCTGTGGGAAAGAAAAGAAAGAATATATTTGTAGAGAAAATATGAGCCACATTGTACAATACCCACATTTATTGCTGACTGAAAACCCTTTATGAACTTCTGGCAAACAGAAAAAAAAATGAATTTCATGAGTGACCAGGATATGAATGACCACGAACAGGGCATACTGATCCAGGGGTGGGTACAATTGGTATATAAAATGAAGCTGTGCAAAGGCCCTCTAATTCATGGCTGCCATCTGCTTTTTGAGTAGCAGCCATAAGTCTAGAAGATTCTGTAAATGGAGCTCTGGCTTTGTTTGAGACAATGCTATCCCATCCTGAACCAAAGATGGAAAATCTCTAGATCCAGGAAGTCCCATAATCCACAGGGACTCAATTTTATGAAGGTTGACTCTGAACCTGTTTTTTTCTATCCAATCCTTTATAATCCCCTCCATCTAGGCTCAGCAGAAAGAACCTTAGTGTGATATAATATATGATATCATACCCAATAACAATAAGAAATTAGCAAACCACAAAGACATTATTTACTTCACATCAAAAACTAGTGGGCACTACAAAATCAGACAAAATCAATAAAAAATTGAATACTCTTACATAGAAGGAATAATCAGAAATATTGCACAATCTCCACTGTTGTACATTGTCTGTCCAAACACTGAAAGTCTTCTTACATTAAAATTTAAAGATAATGGTGTAATTTCATTTTTATGCTGACTTTTTATCTTATAGATTTATTTACAGGGAAACCAGATGTGATTCAAACATACCAGATCTCTATGAATGACAGATGCCTCCTCAAGATAAGCCATTCCCTCACTAACATCTTGACACATTCCGAGAAGGTCTTCCTTTGATAAGCTTCCACGTTGCCTTTTCAGGTAATCAGATAAACATCCAAACTCCATGAACTCAAATACTAAACATATAGGAGAATTTTGCATGCATACCCCATGTAACTGGACCAATTTGGGATGAGATACTTTCCTGATGATGCAAAAAGATAAACCAGATAGAAATTTTCAACAGAAAATAAGGAAGAATACCACAAAAGAAGAAACCCAGATATATGATGGATATGCTAAGAAATAAAGAAACCATGCTACATTTCCCTCATTCATTATGGATAATTCTTGAAATGGAAACCAATTGTGAAATTACTCCCTTCACACAGAAAAAAATCCATTGACATTTTTTATTTTCTGAAAAATAAGAATCTTGTTAAATATGTGTCCATAGAATCATCAGGAATAAAGTTCACCTCAAAGAAAAATAATTTTCTTAAAATCTAATTAAAAATAGTATTAGAGATTAGATTCTGTAGAACTTGTAGCAATACAGCTTCTACAAGAAATATCCCAATCATGTTTGGGAAACAGTCACGTTTGTGAGAAATAGCAAAACAGTGTAAGTAAGATTTTTTAAAATCACAAAGCAGTCATATTTTAAAAGTTTCTTTGTGTGTACCAATGATAGAAACTATTTACTACTTCAAAAATAGTACATAGCAAAAATTCTGAAGTATAAAGGAACACTCAAACAAACCAAAAACTGACTACCGTTATTTAATGCACATTGCTTTAGAAGCTTTATGCCATTAGAATTGCCTAATGTTAAAAATGCCTGTTGTCAGCTTGAGACTAAGAAGCACTCTGCATTTGCTAATACTCATTCATACAAACATCGGCACATAACTGTAGACAACGACATTCATTTGATAAGTCTAATTTTCTAGTAAATATTTATAGAAGAGATGTGTCGACCAAATCATATCTTTTAATTTCATCCATGATGCACAACATTCAGTGTTGCTTTGAATAAGTTGGAAGAAGATTCTAAGTTTAATTATAAAAATAATAAAAAAAACTTTGTGGTCCTGCTTATCAAAATTATTTAAAATAAATAATAATGTGAGCCACCTAAAGTGATTAAAATTCATGTCATTGCATTATTCATCATATAAATAAAATAGGAGTTAAGTAGGTATTTTTACTGCTTACATCATGACTTGGGCCTCTTCAATAAAGTCTTCTTCTGACATTGTTCCTGTGCGAATTGTCTTTATAGCCACTTTCATCCGATCAAGCCAATAACCAAGATGAACCACCCCAAACTCACCAACACCGATCTCCTGTTCAAATGTTAGTTCTTGCGGACTAATAATCCATTTACCTAGGAAAAAACAAAAGAAAAACAACCTTGCTTTTGTCCAATAAATAATAATTGATATATAATCAGTAGTGCCAGTGTTTGTGTATGTGGAAAGAACTTAGTTAGGAATCCTTCATGTAATCATTTCCTCCTCTAATACTCCACACTCTTACTCCCATTCACAGAAACAAAGAGAATTTGTGATTGCCTTATTTACCCTTATTTAAATTTTAAAGAAAGGAAGTGTGAGTTTCACTTCCATTTTGTCTCAAAACCAAAAAATTACAAGCCCCTTTAACAAAACATCTAGTTTACTTACCATAACTTAATCCAGCTGTAACAGGAGCTTTTTCTCTCCAGGAGGAGACAGCATATCTCAATCGAGTAACAAGACCTGTGTTTTGAAGAAATGTACAAATACATTAAAAAAAACCTCAAAAGTAAGAGTCAGTACCAATAAAGGAGAATATTTTTAACTCAGGATTGAAATAAGGTTTCCTTGGTGCTCTCTGAGCTTGGTTGTTTTCATTGCAGACATTTCATTAGCCAAACTAGGTAACATCATCAGTGCTACTGATGTACAGTGATGTTTGCAAGAAAATAACCAAGCTTGGAGAGCACCCAAGGACCCCTCATAAGTGCCAGCTTTTGGTAGCTTAGAAAAGATGATGGCCATAAAAATAGAATTATGGAGATGTACTATAAGAATATATTTCAGAGTCAAATATAGAAATAAGAAGTTACTAATGTGACACTTCAATAAAGTATACCAAAACAGTTTTCCTATTATGTGAAAATTTTCAGGAAGGTCTGTGAAGTTTTGAATACGCAATATAGCCACTTTGAGCATGTACCTGAACATGCTGAGCATTTTATATTAAATTTCTCCCAGAATATTCAGAAAGGCAAAGAATTGTCATTTATTTATATAGAATCTTTCTCTTCAATATAATTCAAAGTTATACTTCATAGGAGCACATATAAAGAGAAGGCAAATACAGGCTTCCTGCAAAAGAGATCCAGAATTCAGGAAACATTCAGCATTTTATGATACTAAGCAAAATGATATTAATTTATCACAAGAGCTTTGCTAATGAGGAATTATTTAAAACATCAGATGTCAGGGTAATTTTTCCTTCCATTTTTAAGATGTTAGAATCTTAGACTTAAATTATCTGCATCTTCTTACCTTTCTTGTCTCAACTTACCTCCTGCATTATACTGGTGGTAATTGATCAGTTCCGGGATATAATCAAAAATATGTTTCTCTGCCAGGTAATACCTCTTGGGCTTGTCATTGGTCTCCTTGATGTGATAGTGCTTTATAACAGGGCTGTTGTCATTGCTAAAAAGACAGCAAATATGCCTCTTTAAAATAATGTAAAAACTACTAAAATTTCCAAGTAGGGCAAAATGAGCAATGATTCATGAAGCATCAATGCAATTCGGGTTTGAACCATAGAATAAATATTATGACCCACTTTATTAGAGTCCTGCTACCTGTATAGTTCCACAGTATATTAACAATATTTTTTTCTTCTTCTCGTGTTATGTTTCTTCAAACAAGTACCAGAATGCCACACTTTGGAAAGTCTAAACTGGGAGACTAAATTGGCTAGGATATATATAAGTTCTACCATTCCTTCAAAATGAAGATATAAAACAAATATCCTTTTATCTTTTCCTCTGATTTTGAAAGAATAATCTTGGAATTAGGGGAAAACACCAAAGGATCTGTGTAGAAAATCTATTGGGAATTATTAAATGTCTCTGAAAAGCCAGACTTTACATCTTTAGGAAAATGAAAACAATACAGAAAATAAAAACTGTAATTATTTATTTAGACTAAAACTATCAAGCTTCAACTTTGGAAAGATTAAAGAACATTTAATGAAATGAATACATTAATGGTATCATATTCTATTATTTTATCAAAAATATGAAGACTATATAAATAGTCAGAAAAGATAGAAACATACAATTTTGTTTGCTGAGATTATTATTTTATGAATCAATAATTCTGACAATTAGTTTTTAGGGAAATGTGTAAATTGTTTATTGAGCAGTGTGGTGGCCTAGTGGTGAAGACACTTGCCTCCCAAATGGAAGGTTGAGAGTTCAATCCCAGGTAATGGTAGATGTTTCTCTCCTAGAGCACAAAGAAAAAATATCTGCTGCAAACTCCATATAGGTGTCAGGAAGGGTATCTGGCCATGTGAATGATTAGTTCCATCCAGTCGCCCCAACCCTACTCCCAAATTAAGGGATTATACAGTTGTAAAAAGGAAGTTTTTGTGTAAGTTGTTTATTGTAGCAACACCAAAATTCTGTTCTGCCTTCTATTAGTGTTGAGAAATTAATGTTGAAAACAAATGTATGCTTATCTGAGTGATAATCTCCTATATTCATCCATCAGTTAGTCAGATCAAATAATGTCAACTCTTCCCAGGTGCCATCACTCAAGGACTATCACCTGATGAGGCCTTGGAAGGGGGTCCATTTTGAATTGCCATTGACACTCCTTGAAACTCTTTGGCAAGTTTGGTTACCTTGATCTTTCTTGGGCTTTAGGAATATTGTGGGGAAAAAACCCTACCTGTTTCATGTGTTGGAATTGTAAGTAGAGTTCACTGGTGCAGGACATTTGTATCTTTTGGTTTTTATTTCTTCATGCTCTTTTAAATGCATTTGGGATTAGGGGGTCATTTTTTTTACATGTTGACACTCTTAGCTGCCCAGATTCTTAAGGAATAAGCAGTAGACAAGCAGAGCAGAGCAAATGAATAATCCAGAGGGCAGCAAGAATACCAATAGCCTAGTAATAGTAGTATATTCCAATTGCAGACCTTTAGCACATCATTTATTAGAAAGTGTATTAATAACAAAGTCAGAGTATTAGAGATAACATCTATTTTTACTTTATTTTGAAATATGAAATTATGCTAAAAGGCATTTGCCACAATAATTGTGCAAAAACAAGATGAAGATGAATTACCATTGTGAAGAGAAGGTTCTCCAAAGGATGTCACGAAGAAGCCGTATATTACAGTAAATTATTTTTTTATTTCCAATGCCTGACAAAGTTTTATTGAATATTATTTTTTGTATTAAAATGATTTTTTTTTTAAAAATGCCATCTTTCCTAAGATCTAGCTTACTTTAATGCTTTTGTGAAGACAGAGACTGTATAGGTGCCAGGCTGCCTTGAGTCTCTCACCATGAAAGCTCCTTCTTTATCCTGCAGAAAGATGAAAAAGACCAGTTTTAAAGTCTGAAATGCTCCATAAGCATTCATTCATTCATTCATTCCAGTCATGGCAACTTCTGGACAAGTCCATGCAATCCTTTTGGCAATGTTTTTTTCAGCAGTAGTTTGTTATAGCCTTCTGCTGAGAGAGTGACTTGCCCAAAGTTACCCAGCTGTCTTTGTGCCTAAGGCATGACTAGAATTTGGATTTTCACCTTAATTGCTAGATCAAGCTGGCTTGCAGTGACCAAATGTATCCATTGCTAATCATATAATAAAGGCATTTATACTTCATGCTTGTACACATACATCTATACATAATTTGCCTAAAGGAAAGAAAAACAAAACAAAAATGCAAGGAAGCCAGAAAATGAGAAGATGTCTAATAAGGAACAGACCAAACATCCCCGAAATTATGGAAAATGAACAGGGATGCAGTAATGTCAATTTAATCTGAATAATTGGGCTGTTTTGGCTTCCCAAAATATTCAGATAAACCTGCTGAAAGCTGGAATTTGGCTTCTGTTTTAGTTACACAAGACAGCTAATTCCTCTTGCTTGTTTTCTATTGATATCTCATGTTTTCCAATAGCAATCTTCTTCCAAAGGACTCAGGCCATCAATAAATGGTGATTTAGCCTACATTTTTATGCTCACCAATCATGTGAGGAAGCAGGCAGGCTGAGGAACAATGAGTAGGAATTATAATTTACAATAACCACCATAACCAACCAATTCAAATTAAAAGTTTTTAACCACTTCAATTCAAAACTACTACTCGATTTCTTCATTACATCACTGAATGTTAGTTTCCTATATGCCCAAGTAGGTGAAGCAAGAATTGATTTAAGTACAGTAAAATGTGAGTACTACCTAAAGGGATTTACCTTACCTCTTCCCTGAGCATTGCTTCTGCTTTGTTTCTGCTGATATTCTTGTTGTACCAACTGCAACGGTTAAGTACAAAGCAAAACATATTGTGTGTCAAATGGAACCAATTCATAAACAGCATTAATATTTGGTATAAAAACATTTTTGTAGATTCTGGTAGTCCTCAGGTTATGATGGTAATTGGAACCTGAATTTCCAATTGCTAAGCAATGTAGTCATAAAGCACAACCACATTGATTAGCGATATGAATGCCAGGAGTCCCCATTGTCATTGTTAACCGAATCCAATCAGCCACAATTCAAGGACCATACTGATTTAAGCCATTCCTGTCTTGGTTCCTCTCACTCCAGAGCTTCAGCAAGATAAGGAACTGTCTCCTCTTGAACTCTCCCATCTCTGTCCTTCTGGCCAACCTGCACAGCAGCACTCCTTGGCAGTGATGCAAGGCTGAATTAGAAGTTTGGGGCCTGAATTAGATGCCTGGCAGTCTCAGCCAGCCATTGTTGCCCCCAGGCCTCATAACTTCTGCCCCAGCATCACCAGTCCACTCCTGCTGCTGAGAAGCCCATGGCACAATCAGCAGCTCCAGTAGTACAGTGCAAAGCACCAGATGCTCCGACCATCCTGCCTCCCTAGACCCTGGCGCCTCCAACTGACCTTCACCATCTCTTTCTTTCAGCTGCTGACAAGGCATATGCCTGGCCTTATGCGAGGCAGCTGCTTGCTGTGGCAGGCCTTCTTCCTGAGGCCATCTGCACCTTCGGAGGCCTTCCAAATCATTGCATGATTTGGAGAAGGGCAGGCAGAGCCTTCTTGCAAGCTTTTGGAAGGCCTTGTCAGCAGCAAGTGTAAGAAGATGGCAAAGGTCAGCTGGCTCTGACTAGGATCACATTTAATAAAAGGGAAGGGAAGGGAAAGGAGACTGAGATTTCCATTTCATTCTATGATCTCAAAGAAGAACTTTAACCTAATCTAACATTGCTTGGGAGTCCTGATTAGCTAACATTTTTCTATATGCTTTTGAATGCGATTATCGGTTTATTTTTCTAATAAAAATTGAATTGACATCTTAATGTGAAGATTTAAAAATTACATAATTCAAAATTTCAGTTATCACTTGTTAATGATATTACATACAAAGAAGCAACAAATTCTTACTTATATATTTGAAGATTATCTGGTGATTTTTCTACTATGTAGCTGCTTGGCACATATCCTCCATGCCTGCAACAAATAAGTTGTCATGTTATTAAAAGATGAGAAACTTCAGTGTATGACTTGATTAAAAGTGTCTATTAGAGCAGAATACATGATACCAAACCTTCTGCTGATGACAATGAGTAAATAGCACCATCTCTTACTGGATACAGAAAATAAAACTTTCAACTTTATTTCCAAACATATTATTATTTATTATTTTCTGTATGGCATATAGTACATGGACTTGCAATATATATTAACATTTCATCTAGATTAGTAAAAGACAATAAAACATAAATGTTACAAAGATCTATGTCCAAATACCAATGTCTAGGTCCTAGGACATCTAAAGAAAAACACAGCAGAACATATATACAGTAAGTATCTTATTCATCATGGACTATACTTAAAGTATGCTGCAGTAATCTAAGACAGGAAAGCAAAATGAATAAGAAACTTACAGCATATGGGGAAAATGTAATGTAGGAGGGAATTAGAACATACATTTTTAAAAAAAGAAAAATTGTCTTTTCTACAAACCTACCCATTCTTATCCTGAACCAACCACCAATGGACTTCAGAGTTATCAATAACATAATATTCCTCATTGCATCGTAATGTCAGTTCCTGAGGATTCTGAGCAATATAATCATAAATGGCAACTACTGAAGATTCCTTGGTATCCAGTGATAATTTCTGGTTTTTTTTTAAAAAAAGAAAGACCTATTAAATGCAGAAAACGAATGCAACAAATATTTGATTACATATATAGTATGCCAGCTTTGTCAAATCTTCTTATATTTCAAAACACGGAGATTTCTAGAATTCTAGAACTAAGGAGAAATTTCCTGACAGTTAGAACAATTAATCAGTGGAACAATCTGCCTCCAGAAGTTGTGAATGCTCCAACACTGGAAGTTTTTAAGAAGACACTGGACAATCATTTGTCTGACATGGTATGGGGCTTCCTGCCTGAGCAGGGGGTTGGACTACAAGACCTCTAAGGTCCCTTCCAACTATTATTATTATTATTATTATTATTATTATTGTTGTTGTTGTTGTTTGTAATATTAATACCATAGGCATACTAGCCTTTTAAAATGTATTATTTATTTATTTGTGTGCTGCCTTTATTATTTTTACAAATAATTCAAAACGGCGAATATATATTTCTCTTTCTATTTTACCCATAAGAATCCCATGAGGTAGGTTGGCCTGAGAAAGAGTAAAGTAAAGCCCCAAGTTACCCAGCCAGCTTTCATGGGTATGGTAGGACTTGAACTCACAGTCTCCCACTTTCTATCCTGATGCCTTAACCACTAGACCAAACTAGCTCAATATTGGCCTTTTATTTATAAATAGATACTGAACTTGAATAAATGAGCCCTACATTTTTAAATCAAATTGGGCTTTGGTTGCTGTATTCTTAGAAAGTAATAGTAGAAGGTATCATGTGGGATCATGCAAATGAGGGATATTGAAATATGGTCACCACAAATTGCAGACCTATTACCCGTACTAAAAAGTTTGACTAGAGATGTTACAAAAAATTTGCAATCATTAAGCCACATTTTAGATGTAAAATTTGTTGTAATATTTCAAAAACTGAACTTCATGACATCAATGCCATACATATGCCATACATACAACCCCCTGAGCAGGGGGTTGGACTCGATGACCTCTAAGGTCCCTTCCAATGTTGTTGTTGTTGTTGTTATTATTATTATTATTATTATTATTATTATTATTATTATTATTATTATTATTATTATTATTATTATTATTATTATTATTATATGCTGTCGCTTCCATATGTACTACCCACATCTTGATACTCACCATGTTATTCTCCGGTGTAGGCGGAAGAGGTTTATTAGAGGCTAGGGAAAGAAAAACATATGAAATCAACATAACTTGTGTGCATACAAAAGAAAAAAATTATGAAAATGGGAGCTTTATGAAGCCAAGTGTTTTCAAGGACTATAGAGTAACTGTATACCGACTGTTTCCTATATTTTTTAATCATGGGCTGAGGTAGAACATCTTCAATGACCCAGGGAATGGGTAAAATACTGGATCAAGTATCATGACTAGAAACTATAGGCAAACAGATCTCACTTTTTGCTAAGAAATAACTTTAGGAAATGAGCACTTGACTCCATCCAAACTATATCTGCAAATTCTGCCAAGTACACAAATAACCACAGCAAACTTATAAGTATACCAAATTAAATAGAAAATAAATACAATTTACAAATAGAAATACAATTCACAAAAAGTGTAAATGTTTTTCCGTTTTGTTTCTCAGAGCTATATTTTTCTTTGGACCTAGTGTTTTCTTTCTTCTTCCCAATACGTGTGATGTGGTGTCGTGATAAAGATTTCATATATATATGCAAGAAGATCTCTTTGCTCCAAATACCTACAGTACATAGCTGTACAATGTGTAGGGAATGCAGCTTTGCTAACTGGGCAGCCATTTATTTGGAGTAGGATCTGGCAATGGCCACAACAGCAGCCCACAATCAGGACATGAGTGATAAGAGGATAAGAATATTGCGCTTAAACACAGAGGCCAGAGCAAATGAAGTGAAGCTTGTGGAGCAGAAAGAAAAACCACTCACAGATCCTAATGAATCCAAAAGTGAAACCTAGTGCTTAAAAGAGATAATCTGCAATACATATTTTGCTTATTTAAGATATATAATTAATGCATAGGACTGCATATCAGTTAACAGTACCATCCACATATGTTCTAAACAGTGACTGCCTCACAAACACAGTGCAAGAAGCACAAGAAAATAATTCTAGGTGGGTTTTTCGGCATTACACATTGCTTTGTACCATAGTATGGAGAAGTATTTAGACATTTATTGGTTTTATAGATGAGCAATGCTGAGTCTGGAAATCTTCAGTCCCAAAGGAAATTAATAAATCCACATTACAGATTTAAGCCATATGGTGACCAGATCACTCTCATGAGCCAAACCACAAGGCAGTCAAGCCACTATATAAAAATAACAGAATTAAACATAAAGCTGTATTGAACTTCTCTCATACACATTTTACAGATGTCCTATAGCTTATATAACAGTACTTTAAATTACTCTTGAAGCCTTGATGGAAGAGAAGTTTTGGAATTTCCTACCAGTCTTGGCTGGAATATACTCCGTGCAGCCTGTTGCCATCTTTTCTAGCTGAGCACAACATCTCCATCGTCCATCTATCCAGAAATTTGGGTGAAACTTTGACACCAAAGTGGTGTTGTTCTGAGTTTCTGAAATGGGGAAAATGATAGATACTCTAAACAGAGCAATCCTGATAATGGTAAACAGCTTTTATAATAGACTTCCCCCATTAGATACTTTGCAAGTGTATTGGGATTGCTATTTCTCCTAGACAATCATTTTAATCATTACATTTGATGGGAAAGAATTGCTTCCATTACATGCTCCATCTCATGAAGTAGAAGAGAGCAGGTATTTATGAAATTCGAAATCATCCTGACCATGATACAGAAAAGCAAAAGCTACTTTTAGTGGGATTAAAACAAAGCAAAACACAAAACTTCTGAAGTTTGGAGAACAGATTTCACCATGATATTATGAACAGATGCTGAACATGCCATTGTGCTTACTACAAATAATAAGGACCAATCTTGTTTTATTTTAATGTGCTATAATGTAAAATGAGTTGTCGATGCAGCATGTAATTTAATTAGATACTTAGATAAACACTTATCTCTATTGTCCTTAAACACTATACCCAGCATATGGAGGTGAAATAAATTTGTTCCAGACAACTGGTAAGTTAATAAATATTTTATTTTATCATTAATTTTTATAGCACCGACTAGTAACATACATATCTGGACATAAAATAGAGTCTGTGACCAGCTTAATTTCTGAAATATAAGTTTCCTTTACCATTTGCCATCAACTATTTTTTTTTAAAAAAAAAAGTGATACCAAAATAATTAAGGGCTGCAGCAGGAAACAGGAATATAAAAATCACTTCAAAGCCACAAAAGCTTATATCTAACATGTATTTCTTAGCCTTAATGTTACCTTGACATACTGACACTGAATTTCAAATGAAGAGTTGACCTAAGGAATTACAGTGTGATGGGTTAGGAATTACCTTCTTTCAGAACCATGACCCATTTCTGGCAGCTTGCTAGGTTGGGAGCAAAGATGTAGAGCATATAGCTATCATGAAAAATCTGTGATGAAAGAAAAAATGATTTAGAGTCAATTCTAAACTGAACAGGATCAGCCCATGTTTTCTGATGTGATGTTAAAAGGAAAAATGAACTTGTATTAATAAATAATATAATGTGGTGTCAGATTGCTAACAAAACTATTACACTAAACATTTTGCCAAGTGAACATTATATTATTTGTTATTCTGAGATATTTGTGTGTGGTATGTGTGTGTGTAGTGAATACATTACATATATTTGCATACAATGGATAAACATAAAAAAAGCATTGAAGACCCATTATCCAATTGTTAGACCTTCTTAACAAAATTTCAGCAGATTTCCACAGACTGGAATAGAATTTTGCTTTTTAAAAGAAAGTAAATGTAGCTGAGATTCTAAAACTCCTAATTCTCCAACAAATATTCATATCTGTATTTGTCCTGTAAGAAACAGAAACCACAAGCTATTTTTATCCTGGTCAATCATGAATTGTATCACTAGGATTAAACAATTTTCTTGATTTTCTGAATGATACTATATCTGCAGCACATTATGAATTGTTCATTTCATTGCCAAACAGGAAGCTAACATTTGGGCTGCAGCTGAGGGGAAAAAATAATTTCATATGCTATTTACATTGTTATATATCTGGCTTGCTTTAGCACAACCCACTCAAAAAAAGTCCCATATTTTCCAGAAGAAACAAAAAGTTTTCCCCCCCAATTAATTACTTGTGTTTGGGGATGGGGTGGGGAGTTTTCTAGAGAAAAATGTATTGGAAGTATTTTGCGGCAGGTAAAAATAATGGGAGCAAGAGACTGAAATAGACAAAGGAAGAAACAGCATAAAATTAAATTTTATATGCTGTTCTAAAATTTGACAGAAAGGTATTGCACAAAGCAGCTGGATCCTTTTTAAAAATACTAATTAGCATCACAAACAGAAACAACTCTGAAAATGCTATAAGCTGTTTTTGGTACAATTTCCCTCTCAACACTTAAGCAGTTTTTACCCCTTAAATCTTTTGATCAATTAAAAAAGCATTAAGCATGACTTGCAAGTTGGATGTACTGGTTATGTTTAGGATGATTGTAATGGCAGATGTTAATACTTACCTGGAAAGGATATTTATAGTGACATGGAACTGGGATGTCACTTTTCACAAGTTCTACACATTTAATCTTGGATAGTTCAACTGAACCCTTTAAAATTCTTTTTTTCTAAGAGGAGAAAGAAAATACAATTAGACTCCACGATCGGTTTCATTGCTTACTTGACATTACACTACACTACCAAGTCTTTAAACATTCATGGAAAGTATTTTAGCAAGGGAAGTGTAAACAATGTATAACATGTTATGATTTTCAGCATAAAACAAAAAGAGAGAGAAGAAAGAAATATCTAGGGAAATGTCTAATTAAATTTCTGAACATGTAGGTGACTTATTTCCTGAGAAATAGTGGGGTTTTTTCCCCCTCTCTCTTTTTCCTTGGTGGATCTAGGAAGCATCAATGGATTAGCTTGTATATTTTGCTATAAAAGCTGCATTGAACAGGAAGCCAAAAAGCAACAACTATAATAACCCTGCTGTCCATTAATGCCTTGCTTTGAATGATTCACAGCCCTCTTTGAAAGTAACTGATTTCCTGCTTTGATTTTTCTACAGCCGAGATGGAATTTTTTTTATTCATTTCAGAGAGAGCTTAAATGTGGAGTTTCAGGAATAATTCTTCTAATGTGACAAGCAATTGATCTTATGCCTTTTCTATCAGAAACAAATCTAAGTGGCTTACAAAAATGACACACAATTATGCATTTCATAAGAAATGGCATTATCATATAATCATAAGAAGAACATCAGAAGCATCTTTGATTGAAGAAAACTTTCAAAAACTGGGAGGATAGATTTTAGTATAGTTTTCATTCACATATAATTAAACCTTACACAGCCCACAGCTGTGTGATAGCTCATGTTTTTCCATGCTTGAGGATGATAATCCAAATAGATTGCCAGTCACATTCTATTTATAGGTTATGGCATTCACATTCACCATATGTGAATCTGCATATAGTTTAGAAAGACTGACAC